GACAATGATCCTACCTTTAGTGAAGTAAGAGACAATGATTCCTATCTGTAGTGAACTAAGAGACAATGATTCCTACATTTAGTGAAGTAAGAGACAATGATTCCTACCTTTAGTGAAGTAAGAGACAATGATTCCTACATTTAGTGAAGTAAGAGACAATGATTCCTACTGTTAGTGAAGTAAGAGACAATGATTCCTACCTTTAGTGAAGTAAGAGACAATGATTCTTACCTTTAGTGAAGTAAGAGACAATGATTCCTACCTTTAGTGAACTAAGAGACAATGATTCCTACCTTTAGTGAAGTAAGAGACAATGATTCCTACCTTTAGTGAAGTAAGAGACAATGATTCCTATCGTTAGTTAAGTAAGAGACAATGATTCCTATCGTTAGTTAAGTAAGAGACAATGATTCCTACCTTTAGTGAAGTAAGAGACAATAATTCCTACATTTAGTGAAGTAAGAAACAATGATTCCTACCTTCAGTGAAGTAAGAGACAATAATTCCTACATTTAGTGAAGTAAGAGACAATGATTCATACCTTTAGTGAGCCTTCAACATCTTTAGTATTATACACAGTAACATTATCCAAATTGAATTGACTCATCAGATTCAATCCCGATCTTTCAATGAGTGGAAATAGACGTGCTAGGAATAACTGAATACGACCACAGAATACAGTACATTGTGGCTGTGATAGTCTTCTCAACAGATCTGTAAGGAAACGTGTACTGTTATGTATGCTCAATCGTAGGTGAGCTGCAAATCTACCTGAATAAATGTTTTTTGGAGGGTTGAATTTCATTTGTGTTGATGGGCTTTGTTACCTGTATGCTTTGTTTGCATTTTTTATCCTTTACTCATATGTTCTTAATGCTTCCATATAATACAGGGCATTTTAATATGAATTGTCTTTTCCTCCGGGAAGCTTCGATCAACATGCAAATTTATGGAAGAATATCCATAAGTATGCTTTTCTGGAAATCAGGGTAAGTCAACTACTCATCAAACTAAGTGAATATGATTTTTTCCACAAGATGTGTTCACTGACAATGAACAACATGAACTTTGAACTAATTTCTTTGATGCTGTTTCACAAACACAGACGTCTGCTAGTTACTTTAGTACCGTAACTAAAAATTTCTATAAAGTTGATCCTGTTCGTATTCTGACAGAACAAATGCAATTTTCTCGATGACCTCATTAAAAGCTAATTAGTGAAATTAGTGGAGCACCTTAGAGTTCCCCTGAGCTCCCTGGGAGAAATGTAGCTTCTTGGAGCTCCGCAGAACTCCCTACAGCTGAATTGAAATCGTTTGTTTGATTTTGACCAATTTTTTTATGTTGTTTGTATGAGTAAATATTGGCAAATGTATAAGTTTAGATTATGCAAGGGTGGGCTCTTTCTCATCATATCTTTATTGCATATCAATGAACATAGTTGCATACCTTTATCTCATAAATCCTTGCATTATATAAACATATTGAACAGAACAGAATCCTGTAGCATTGCCCCACTGTAACAGGTGATTTTATACAGGTTTTAGAAATATTCTTAAATTTTGTGACTGAACATATAGTGTATTTTACCACAGACATCATATTCCATGTTTGGAACTATGTTATAGGCTTGTGAGTTAAGCTAGTGAGTACCCTCATAATAACATTTTGAATATCTTATCTACTTTCAAGTACTGGGTATTTCAAAACAATTCTGTCCTTGACAGTTCCTTTCTGTTCTCTCTTAGATTCAGCTAAAACAATCCCCATACTATTGATATATTTGTTTCAATGTTCTGCATGATATATTCCAGATAACATACCATTGCAGACTCTAAGTAGATAGTTCTTTCCTGCATTGTAGAATATAGGCTGAAAAGAAAAAAAAACTCTTAGTATCATACATAATAATACATAATGTGTCTGCATTTTTATCTCATCAGGAATCTTGCTAATTGATCACATATGCTTTACATCATAACCTTTGGTCACTGGGCCGTATGAACCAATCCGTAAACCAATGAATGGAACCAGCATGTTTGAACACCTGCTAGTCCACAACCGTGATGTGTTCAATAATCAACTCATTTCAAGTGAATAATTAATTTAACAATGACTTTTACAGCCCAAAACATTTCTGACATTGAGCAATTGGAAAAAAATTGAGGAAGGAAGAGGGAATGTACTATGCACCAGTTTCGAACAGGGATGGATGAAAAACGTCTGTCAAGTATGCACAGAATTAATTAAGCTGCAGTAATATGAATTTAATTAATTCAAATTTAATAATCAAGGAAACGATTATATCTTTATAGAAAATAGCATTTTTCATGCAAACCATTAAGAGACAAATTATTTTTGATGAATTTTGTTTTGTGACACCATTTGTTTTTATTATTTGGGCTATCCGTGTAAACTTTCAGCAGGTGTTGCATTAGCACATACAATAGCCAATCATTATGCACAACATTAACATTAATATTTTGTTTTTCAAAAAAATTTAACACTAACCTTGTTCGAACAAATTAAAGAGTTCCCCACCCCATCCATCAATCCCATTACATTGTATAACCCCAATATTCACCAAACAAAGAACATTCCATTTACATCACAGGACTAGAAAGTAACCTTGTGATAACTTCTCACCTCTTGCCATGTCTCAACTCGGGTTTCTACAAACTTGAAGATATCATCACAGACTTCTAAAGTGACAACCTCTGAGATATCAGCCAATAATATAAATGGTGTTGATGGTGTACAGAATCCTTTATATACAGATGATATTGCTAGTTCTATCATGACAATGTATGCTTTTGGACCCTTCTCTTGCAACTGATGAAAAACAATGCAGTATACATACATGTATATGTAGTATTATGTATTATGTGTTTTTCAGCTTCATCCTTGTACCAAACATGTTGATTTTTTTCATGTAAACACCAAGCTTGTGGTACCTACATGTATACGTAGATTATAAGACTAGGCCCATGAAAAATTAATCTTAGAAAAAACATAACATAGCTAATAAAATTTTGAGAATCTAGATATTAAGGCCAGACTTTTTTTATTCTTTGTTTCTCAAGTTTTTTATAAGGCAATTTTTTTGAGGAGGGCGAAAAAAAAAAATTAATTCTTTTTTTCTCATTAGATTTGTGTGATTCTCAAAGAATTGTAAGTGAGATCATTGATCGGAGAGAAGAAATAAAATAAATTTTTATTCCATGTATAACCTTGTTACTCATCTGCGTGAGACTTTGGTACTTTGATCATGATACTCCCACGAAAATGCAACTTGGGTCTGTTATGCGGCAGGCGAAAAAAAAAATAAGATAAAAATAAGTTTTTTTTAGCAATTTTTTGGACTTACAAGTCGGCGGGCGCGAGAAATTACGCTGAAATAAAAGTTTTAGTTTTATTTCATTTTCGGCTCCTGTTCATTCGACGAAACAAGGGATAATAAAAGTCTAGCCTAAATAACAAATAATGCAGGATGCATAAATCTAAACAAGATTTTACCTCACATCTTCAAAACTATACTATAGTTAATGAAAATTGAATTGGTTGACATTTTATAGTAATTGGTAAGATTTTAAGATGATATAACAGTTGAAACTTGTTTGAATTATTGTAACCACAAGAAAAAAAAATCTACGCAAAAAAAAATACACAAAACACATATCAACACATATTGTAATTAAGAATAGCGCCCTCGTGGGATGCTGAAACACCGCCAAATTGCTTTTTTTTTTCATATAATCACATGAAATTCTCTGAAGAATGTTCTTCAGTATGAGAGAATCTTGCATTAACAGTGAAAACCCTCACTACTAGTGATTGATGTAATAAATGTACAATTGTAAAAATGTTAAAGTTCTACAGTTGTCTCTCCATAGATCCATAGTGATGTATACAACGTGTGTAAATAAATTGTTATTTTGCATTGCACGACTGTAGCACCTTAATATTTTAAATGCAATAATTCCCTTTCTAAATTTAGTACATATTCATGGACAAGATTAAATAATTATGCAGTGTTATTTACTTACTATGAGGTCTTTTAGAACATCCCTCAGTGATTGATCAAAAACCATCTTTTTTTCACCCTCACTGAAGAAAAACAACAGATACTACATGTATCAATAGGATACCTTGAACAGATCACAGTTCCAAATACACCCAAGTGACAGTAATTTTCAAAGCAAGTATGCAACATTTTCAAAGTGATGAAATGCATTTAGGGTATTTCCCTGGTCACCGGAATACCATACATGTATATGCTGTATTTACCAGTATCATGATTACATGTACATGTAGGTAAATGACAGAGGTGTGTGACTACCGTTAAAATAACTCATATTTTAATGATCCAGCATACAATACTGTAAATGCAATTTTAATTTATTAAAGATGTGCTTTGAATGGATCTGCATTTCTATTAGAGATACACTCATATTAGAATTGTGCTTCTAATAAAAATGCACTTCTATTAGAGTAGCATTTCTATTAGACCATAGATGGTAACAATTTTACTTTTTGAATTCTGTAATTTTTACATATTTTTATGTAGTTGGAATGATGTGCTGTTATCCCAAATACAGTATTTGAAACAAATGACTTGATGAAGCAGGAAACAATCAATTGCAAACTTACCTGCCAGCAATATTTCCATATTGTGCATCGATCAAATCAAAGGAATTTGAAGATAAGGAAACTTTTATACATTGCTGCAAATAAAAAACAAACAAATTATGAAATATGCAGACACGCCAACCTTCTTCTTAAAGGGAAAAAACACAAAGTATGCCCCTGAAAGATGAATTCACATGTATTTCATTAATCAGTGAGCATGGATTTGCCTTTTTAATGTTGCTCAACCATACCAAGTTGACTGGAAACTGATATGGCGATGTTATAAACATTAATGCACTCAAATATAGTTTAAAATATACCCTTGAGTAAAAAAATTTACAAGTATACAGGTTTGTGGGAATATGCAGGAAATGTGAGCTGAAAAGAAATTTTTAACATTATCGGCAACTGATACGGACATGCACTAGGTACTTCAAATGTGTCTGTGGTCAGTGGTGGTAAAAATAACTTCACATTATTATGCACTTTTCTAATAAGCGATCAACAACAAGAGCATCCAAGCGAGCTCTTTAGATAACATGTGTATATACACACAATGTATAGGAGAAAATATAAATACCATAAGAAGTTGAAAATAGTGCACTTGCAATCTATATATGGTGCTATTTCATTTGTGATTTCACAAACTGGACAAAGTAAGACAGCTTATTCAGATAAAATATATTCAGAAATGTTATTCAATGATAAAGCAATGGTTTCTTGGCAACTGACTGAAAATAGTTTAACTTTGAATAGTTTTGTGAGTAATTTTGAGTAGCAGTGACATAGAAGTGCGTTTGAAGAGAAATTGTGCGTGAAATAATAACTTGACGCCTGCAGATCGCATGCTTCAAAATTATGTGGTCACTTCAGTTCTATTTTTACTAAATTTATCACTGAGCTGTTTGACTGCATACACTCGCCAGGCATTGCCTGTTACATGTTAATTTATTATGTATTTAAGGGTTTTAATTGCATGAGATACGAGTGCATAACTTATATATACATGTATATAGATAGAGGCCCATATATTTCAATTGTTTTAGTTTAGCATGATTTTAGAGGATTGAACACAGTCCCTCTGTTGTTTGAAACATTGTTTGAAACATATTCAAAATGGCAACGTAAACCAAACTCCACAACCTACATCTACAGTATGGAACTTTCCGTGTAAATATCTCATGTAATAATTGCATTCATTTGTGTGTTTCTCTAATCTCTA